GTTACTGATAAAAACAAATAATAGATTATAGTCATGAAATTTGCGATGAACCACAGTCGAAAGTTGGGGTTATCGAATTCGATATTGCAAAAGCTCATCTGCTCTCATCAATAGCATGCTAGGCACTGTTGGCTTATACCCAGTACAAGGGTGGGAGGTTTTCGCTAACTTGGAAGGAAGAAAGATTTTGAAAGAAAGACGGTCATCCCCCAAGTATCATCAGGGGGTTTAACAAAAAGCTGGAAATTTTGGCTTGTACAGCTTCTCGCTTCTGTTCAATATATCCATAGTGAAGGATGACAGAAGTACTTACGTATAGGTAGACAGCATGGAATCCAGATATGTGGAGCTTCAGGATATAAGCTTTCTTTTGAGCTGTGATCCCCTCAGCGGGTATGTTAGCATGCGGTCCTTAGGCAGGCTCCATACCCGTTTAGCTGCTTCATCCGCTAGGGTACTGCATGAATCACTGACCTGACCAATGACGAAGTGTGACAATCGCAGCGCTGTGCGCCTTGTACATAGGGCGTTTATAAATGAGACCATACGTACCCTCTGTCTGTCCCATCTGGAGTATGCCCTACCCGAGCGGCTCCCTTCTGATAGAGTACAGTACTAAATGTTGCCGCTCAAATTAGGATCACTTGAACTGTGATTGAAGGCCAGTTGAGTTTGAAGGTAGTAGTTGCCCACCATCCTAAACTGCGCTTCAGATCCAAACAAAGCGGAAAGGATGGATGTAGAGTGGACCTTTTTGTCCACCATTTTTGATCGTTCTTGTTTTACCAAGAGAGGAGATGAACTGGGGTTAAGTAGCATAGTAAGGAGAACTCACCAACTTTTGCATCCTATAGTTGGGAACCGGCGCAGGCATGTTTGTCTATGCTTTGCCTAAATCTGGATGACTCGCTATGCGGTAAATTGTCAATTTGAACTGTAAAGTGTCTTGTCGGGCTTATGGAAAGGCAAAAGGTCTTATCGCTAGCGTACTTATTTGAGTTTATAATTATGCATCAACAGTGAGATTAGAGATTCACATAAGCATAGTTTAAGATCTTATGTGGTGCGTCTTCACCCAGCTTTACATTGTGACATATTTAGCATCTGCATGAAGAACTGCCGCTTGAGAAGTCGGCCCTCGAATTTATGATGTCATCGTTCCCTGACGTCAAGGAGAAAGAAGAAATGCGAAAGATTGTTGGTCGATATGGCATAACTGGACGCGAGCAGGTACTTCTGTTTTTTAATCGCTATTGTTTTGTGGTAGCATTTGGGATGTACTTTTTTTGAGGTTTGTCCAATGAAGCAGCTATCTGACGGTCAACGTTGCCGCGTCTCATTTGCTTGGCTAGCCTGGCAACAACCTCATCTACTTCTTCTTGACGAACCTACTAACCACTTAGATATGGAATCCATAGACGCTTTAGCAGAAGCTATCAACTGCTTCCCTGGAGGGATGATTCTTGTATCCCACGACTTCCGACTTGTGGGACAGGCACGTTTGTTAATTTACTAGAATTTGCTGCTTTATATA